TTTTTTTAAATATAATTCGATTTAGCTGTAAACAGTTACGGAGAAACGCTCTCCTTAATGAAGAGCGTAGCTCTATTTTATGTACAAGCGTCTTTCTTCTAGTTTCATTGGATAAACCGAGCTAAAAATGAACCTTTTTCCCATTTATACCATGTAATTTTTTTATTTCAATTTAACACTCTTATCCTCTAACGGTATAAGGATGTTATGGAAGTTATTTATCGGCCGATACTGACCAATTAATCGTCGACCCTTTTTTTTTATAAGAATTTAATTCGTTTCCTAATTATATTATTTAGTGTATTTATGCATCTATTGATGTCGCATATTTTAGACAACAGAGAATACGCGCCACCTTGGAAACCATAGAAGAGTTTGCAGAAATACCTTTTTATAGCCGCTAATAAGCTATAACAAGAAATCTCTACTACTGGCTGGGTGGGTTGATTCGGGATACATGAAAAAAATAATAGTACAAATTTTGACGGAGCCTATATCGAGAACCTGATCGCTATGCTCAGGCCAAATTCTGAATTTGATCATAAAACAATTACCACAACCGCGGAATCTGCCAGCTGTCGACAATATTCCTTGGGCTGCATAACTGAGCGTCTTGTCCATTTAGATATTATATGCTCAACGGGTTTCTTTGAGTAAACCTGCCACCTTTGTTAGCAAAATTAAACTTTCAGGGAGAAAAGCCGAGACAGTATCACTGAATTAGCTATAACATTTTCTCTATATTGGTGTTGAGATGCTGTTGTTTCAGACTTACCAGTATATACCCTGTGTTAATTACCTATTGTTTCGCATCCTTTAATCAATCAAGTAACCTATTACCCGTCTGGTCTTCCTTCAGAACAAGTTAATGGTTGTGGAAATTCTGAATGCAATGGAACCCTTTGAAAGCATCGATATCCTTGTCGATGAGGTACGTACAGCCCCACTGGCAATATGAATGGAGTGGCACCAAAGTTATTATTGAAATCGTCGTGAGACAACAAAACCATTGTAAAAATAACCAGTAGGAAATAACTACAGTTCAACATTGATGGCTATACACATAAAGACAGAGGAGTCCCTTCGTGGGATTTCTTTATATATGACTCAGTACGAACGTATTTCATTAAAACCCAGCACTTTCCGTAGTTTATATATGTTTTGAGAAGCTACAATTATAAAAGTAACTACAATGAATAAAGAACAACAAAGCTTTAATTGCTAATTGCCGATTGAAATATGTTACAGTACCGTCGCACAGCTTTACATTACGCCTACGCTACAAAGGAAACTCGACAGACAAAGGACATTGTTGCATTGTTGTATGAGTTTGGAGCATCTGAACATTGTCTTGACAAGGTACTACTTCTATATATATACATATATAACTGTTGTGTCTTTTTGCCATGGCGCTAATGTGCACGCTGCTTACTTTCAGTTTGGAAGAGAACCGCTAGATTTCAAAGAACATTCCGGGACAAGAGCGATGGAATCATACTTGGAAAAGGTACGAGAGCGACATTCAATCCCGGCTGAGCTCGAGCGAGAAATCTGGCGACAGAAATCGCGTAAAGTACGAGAATGCAAAGTGAGTTTCATAGGCAATATTTACATCGTTAGAACCCCTCTTAGTAATTTGTAAAACTTCTCATGCAATGCTTAACCGCGTGTCGAGTATAATAGGAACGGAATGGCTACCAGTAGGACAAAATACACGTGTCCCTTGGCATCTTCATAAGCGTAGACTTCTGTAGTGCTCGAGACGAGAAAAAATTTCCAGTAACTCGTAGAGCAGAGTGTGTTTTTAATAGACAGTATGAGTATCTGGAGTATAATTTTGTTACGTTAATGTTTTTAGGTGCAGACCCATCGGCAGGTGCATGCGCATTGCCACGATGCCCCAGGTAAAATTTATGGCCGTGAAGTGGGGAAAGCTGACATGCCCTGGGACAACCGTCCCGCATCGATGCAAACAACTGATGATGAATATTCCTGGGGAGGCTGGTGTACTCTTCAATAGGTTAAGTTCTTGTGATCAAGAAAATCATATATTACATTTATGTATTGGCTCCGTTTCAATGGCCAGACATTACTAGGTAGATATACAACGTATTACATGATACTCGAGGATAAGGCCGGTATTTGACGAGCTCAAGGCCCTACGCCATTAGCTCGTTATAACGAGTTGAATCAACATTATTCGCCTATAGCTTAACGATATTAGGCTGGGTCATTCTGCGATAAGCTATTTAAGTCGTGCACTCGACGGCTATCACTATTATTAATATCACATACACAGTCTTCTTTTTTAAAGAAGTAGGTGCCTAGCTATAGATATATTTTAGTGGTCGTTGTGCTTGCCGATTATTCAACAGACCGAAAATTGCGAAGCTACCATGAAGTTCAACAAGCAGGAGTAAACCTCACATAAATTTGTGATTCCATTAGAGAGCACCTAAGTTACTTCGTTCGCTCGTATTTGCGGCCTATTACGAAAATTCGTAAATCGCACTTACCCCTCTACACATGCTGTTCTACTCAGAAGCGCTTTTGTCCTGTTGTTCCGATAGATTTGGTAGATTTCAACCTATCAACTGACCTTTGCTACTTTTTCTTTACTAACGCCTAACCAAAGTTAGGTGGCTTAAACGTCACTGGACGTCTCTGTCTTGGATGATGCTTGCCGCAAGCATATGAGGGCACTATTAAAAGCGAACGAATTTAAAAACCTCATTTATGCGCAACTTAATTTTTAAAGTTGCTGTTATTACCATTAAGCCCATGGACTTCCCCGTGTCAACAGGAGGCGTCAGCAGCAACAGATGAGAACCGGCGATGATGTCTTTTTCGGCACCAATTTTATTTCATCTTAATATCCATTTTTTATATATATATATATATATATATATATGAAATGCTTGCACGGACGCCTGTGTATTTTTCCATTATGATCACTGTGAGCCATCACCGTATATTGTCCGAACCGCATCGTGTATGATAAATATATAAATCATAAACTGTATATTAGCAAAATACATGTGTCATGTGACTTCTTTGTTACCCAATAAAAGCAACAAAAAATAGCGATCCGTTTAAATAGTCCACGATGATATGCAGGGACATTGTCTGTTTGAGAAAACTAATGAAATGAACGAATGCTGCAACGAGCTAATTACGCATGTGACGAAGAGAACAGCCAGACGTTGCATGTATTTGCCCAAGTGTCAGTGGGGCATTTTCCAGATGGACGACATACAGAAATCAAGCAAGGGCACCTAGACTAAGGGGCGAACAAGCAGCAGGTAAGACGACTCCGTGAGTACCTGTAGTCACTCATCTGCGGTCGCATCCGGCTGACGCTTATATATACGATCCGGTGCGATGTGAAATTGATAGACGCTTCGAAATTGCTCAAGAATCATAAAAATTTATGATAGTATGATATTAGAGCAAAAGGAAAATCTAAATCTTATCGGTCTGAATACACTAGTATTATAAGCTATGTACAAGGGGTTTACAAACATATAGGCATCATAAGAATAGATGGAGGGCGGCGTTTGTATTTATTTTTACGCCGCTAAGAAGATAATTAAAAACAGAGGACAACTACCGATAGCCACTTTAACAGTTGTTATTCAAAGCGGCTAATCCTTATGAAATTACAATTTAAAGCAATTTATATCACGAATGAAAAATTCGTTTCGAAGGCCAACCCAAACTAGCCTTAACCAATATCGATCTTTTTACGGAACATGCGTGAAATCCTGTCAAATAACGGCGTCATACCGTTAGACAGGGGAAATATCGCGCTTCTTAGGCGGGTCTGCATTGGCTTAATCGGTATGATGTAAAAAGATGAAATGATCTAGACGTAACTATTTAGTACGTGGATAATGTTATCAGCGTATATGCAGGTCAGATTCAACCAACTGGTTATGTGCTGCGGCTGAAGAGAATTCCATGTTTAGCATATTCTCTCTTGTACCTCAACGAAGACAGTCTATCGCTAAAAATTGTGGCCGGCTTCTCTCCAAATCTCATATAATTCTGAATGTATTATTACTTTTTACCTTGGCCTTTGCCAAATGAGTGCATTTTAAATGAACCTAGACAGATTTTCCACTGACCTGCTATGGGCAAGTAACTCAAGCTAATCGCAACCGTTTTGCGCTTACGATCAATCCAGTGGCTACCTAGCAGGTGGTCCAACCGTACGATTAAGAATGACATTCAGTTTCATTACAAACCTAAGTCCATACTGAGAACTACAAGTAGAGGGCAAATTATATAATATGCTATTGTATTATTCTCTCGAAGATACTTTGAAATGCCAGTGTTATTACGATACAAGAAAATTCTTGATGGTTCGTGAAAATGATTAAGTGTGATGTCCAACCGTAGGGCAAGACCGGATGAGACTGGGCAAATAAGTTTACGAAGCCGCCTATAAAAACGAGCTATTGCTAAATGAACAGACTTAGTAAGCGATAAACAGGCTGAAGTCGACACCTCGATGTCAGTGTGAGGAACCATACTCTTCCACTGCTATAAGAAAAACAAATAACGATACGTACATCCTTTCCTTCTCTCTACGAGTCATCTGCGAATGGAGCCCCAAAGACGCCTAACGCTATTCGCGTGCTTAAACGATTAACAATAAATAGCACAGGATATGGACTGCTGCAGATGGTCACTATAACTTCAATAAACCTCCGCTGTTCGATGAGAACCATGAAGAAGATGTAACACTACTTAATAAGAAACTTTATGAGAACTTGCATACTCATTGTTATATGTAACCGAAAATGGAACAGACTATAAACCGGTTTAGGAGTATTCATCTAGCAAAAACTCGTTAACAACTACGGAAGACGGACAAATGATGAACAAATGACAACTAACTAATAAAATATAGAAACAAACAAAAAAAAAACGATTGTACTCGGAGCTCTGTTTGCCTAGTTGTTGCTATCTACGGCATCGCTATAGGCGTCATGTATAATTCACACACCACTGCGTAACCTATGAGTAGCTTTTTTTACTGGATTATTAGTTGATCTACTTGTGATAAGTTCTGAGATCTGACACAAGTCACTTACTTTGAAATACTTGAGTAGGTGATTTTAGCCTCACTGATGGTTGGACCTCCTCATATTCTGTTTATATTGCTAACGAAGGTATGATAACTTGAAGTTGATGTTTACCCTGCGTACGTATAATCTAATCTGCTTATTAGCAATAATTTGTTATTAGTTGGGTGTAGTGTTCAAATAAAAAAGCTGATTACGAAGCAATCACTCCTGAGTTGAAGGTCATAAGCTGGCCAGGACTGTTTCGTTACTGTAACATTATGCGGTGAGCAACATCATACATTTTTAGATATTATTAATTAAGTTCCACTTACTTTTCCACGCTTTGCCATTGACTCTAGGCCTTTCGACGCATTCATCATTCAGATGCATGCCGAGCGTAGAAGAACGATGACATGATAGAGCTGATACTGGCTTGGGCTGGTATTGAGATATAGTTGTTACAGTATGTGTATTTTTTATATCCAATGCGATCGCAACTTCTGCAAATTCATTCCCGTTGACCCAAATTCAGAACTGCCTTCGACGACGTTTTTCAACACGTTTGGAACCGAACACGTACATGTACGAGACAACTCATGGCAGATTCGTGCATTCATCTATTAGGGTGACAGATCGTGTGAGTCGCGTACTGGACTGGCCTTATTTTAGGTACCATAAAAATAACGAATACGCAATTATACTTAGACGCCCACCTTGAGTGTTACACATTAAGCACAATTTATATTTAAACTTTGTTCAGGCAGTCTACGCAACTCAATGATACATCTGATCCCGTGCAGGCATTAGCAATCATCGAAAGCAACTTACGGCTCACTCGTGTCCTGTATTCGTGGGTAAAACTTAAAAATCTCAACAAACATTGTAGCAAAACCGATGACGAGAATGTTTTACATCATGGTCAATTCCAACTCTGACGAGCGCGATCAATGTCCAATTGTCGACCGCCGAACCGTAACACTCCACCTTACTTTAGCTTTACCATCAAAACGTTTCTACGATGCATTTGAAATATACCCGTCTATTACTAACCCCTCTAAAGGCGTTACCCCGCCTTACCAATTTAAAGGAATCTTCTTACATTTAGCAACATGCCAAATGTATGTAACTAGATTTAAAAATCCTCTGATATTTATCTATACATTGCACATGCTGTGTGTCATGTACAGGATATAACATATAGGAAAAAGGTACCCCAAACTTGAAAATTTACAAAGACAATCGCGTTGTATATTTGCATCAAGACAAAGACCGTTATAGTGGCTTTCCGTGGGCAATTGAGTCAGTATGTTTATATTTAAGAATTTTCAAGAAGGTCCTTTGGGTCAAATAGGAGGATTAGGTTCTTTAAAAACATCTTTCATCTTCTGCTTCATATTAACTGATTATTGTAACAACGGTAGGATGGTTCACAACATGGATGGCTTTAGCAATCTATATAAATAAAACCGTGTCGAAATCTTAAAGTCATAAAGTTGTTTCAAATAAAGTATAAAAGTAACTAGTTGGTCAAGAGATCATATTGTATATAGTATTAATTGTGGATACTCGTAGGCCCAATGGTCGTTGAAGATAACGCACCTTGATTTAAAAAACCTCCTATGTGAACCCTATTCTATAGGCTGTATTATTCACTATAATACTGTAGGACTACATGTAACTTGAATCTTAGTGGGAGATAAATGTGTTTCTATGCTAATTCCTCACTGATTTTCTTCAATAAGAAGGTGCGTCACTTTGGTGAAGTGCATAGAGCCCACCATTCATTCAACTCAGTAGCCACTCACAATTTCACCAAAAGCTTCGGAACATTAAAAGAATTTTCTTTCGTAACTTCTCTAAAACAAGTATGGCGGCATGTTATCTTTTTTTCAGTGAATATAACAATCAAGCAACTTGAGCATTGGCTGAAAATTTTGTTTTACTTTCAATAGAAGTTCAAAAGTTTCTGGATAGTGGCTAGGCCAGCAATGGTTCCTGCGATTCCTTTATTGTTTCTTCGCTTAAAGCATAACCATTTTGTACGGAAGAAGACTTGAAAATATCTTCTGTATTAGGTCTTTGCGTATGTTTATGTCAATTCTTCAATCATTGTCAGCTATGGACCTTATAGTCTCCCTCCCTTTAAGTTTTATATTACATACCGCAATATCGGCTTCTAGTTTAAGACTTTACATCCATGCACACGGCATGTGTATTGGTCGTAATGGCAAGAACAGCATTAATTATTTAAACACATTGGCGGCCCTATAAAACCCCTATGATGATACAACATTTGACGAATTTTTTTTGCGCAACGGCGGGACTAAGCGATACCTGCTTAGTCAGTCACTTTCCGAAAAACGCCTGAATACGCTTCCGGCAATATTATCACGGAAACACAAAATGCTTGCAAACGTCTCTTGTGATATATTTCCTGCGTTGAACGATCTGTTATTGTGGATATGGTTTCATCACGCTTCTACAAGGCACCTGTAGCTTCATGAATGCTTGAGGTTTCTTCTAAACGTAGGCCTATATAGCTGTGAAATCGACTGCTTACTCTATAAGTTTAGGTGCTTGACTCAGCTGAGACCAATTGGTCCTTCCATTTCTTTTACACCGAGTTCGCTTTTTGATTAGATCACGAAAGCCTGGCCACTGGTAGAACCAAGACTCGAGAGAGGCGTATCCCTCGCTTCATGGTAAACGGGCAGATGTTTCCTCGAAGTCACCCTTTTATAGGACTCGCTTAGTGAAAACTTTAGGACGTTCTATGGGAGTCTTCGTAACCCTCAGCTACTTACCTAGCGAAGTCAACCTGGTGAATAGTCAACCCAACAGCACACCGCCCAGGCCACAGCTAGGGCAGACTGAATCCGGGGCTCAAGGTCTCCGTTGGCAACAGAGGGTGGAGCGTACTGTCCTAACTTACCTTAACTTAGATCTAGCGAAAACGGGTGGATCTAATTCTAATTTGAATCATCGATGTTCTTATCGCTAGAGCTTTTCTGTTGTATGGCTTTCAGCCGATGACTTTTCCACTCTTACGAGCTCTGGTCGGGAAACTAATTGCACGCACTCGGAAGGCCACGCCACACAAGTTTTATTTCTTCACGGCAGACATACTTACCGGGGACAATTGGATTTGCCCGCACCTTTAGTTACAAGATGAGATGTATGTGGGTTCTTAGAAAGTGTTGTCAGTGTGGGTCACACGTTCATTTAGACTAAAACGTTTTTTTGTAAGGGTTGAAGCAGCGATATTTTCCAACTACAATTTACATAGCATTCTCTCGGATTCAGACCACAATTTCAGGATCGTTGTTGGTACTTGAAAGAAAACACACCCTTTTCTTGATCGTCAGGTCATTGTGTATCTAGTGTGTTGCATTTAGCTCTTTACCGTTCCGCCCGAGTCACATAACATACATAAGTTACCTTTATGCCAAGCCATGTTATCCGCACATGAATATATATACATTACGCCCTCGATTGTGCCGATTTGTTTTGCTAACAAAATGGACCGTAGTGAAATGAGGCCCTAACTAAGCTATAGCTAACATTTTCCAACCTTTTAAAGAGCTTAACACACGCTACCTTAAGATATTTCGTGTCGTTCCTTTAGTCGCACAATTTTGTGTGGACATTATAAACAGAAAAGAACATCGAGTACAGCCCCTGTGTACAGAAAGAAAAGTCTTTCTGTGCAGAAAGAAAGGAAGGCTATTGCCGTCTTTCCGACCAAAACGACAATGGATAGGAAATCCTCTTGTGCGCCATGCCATAAGAAGTCCACGTTTCGCCAACAGCTTATGACGCGTGCGACAAAGCATGTTGGAAGCATTGTCAGCTTGCCCGAGATTTGTCCGGAATGATTCTCCCCTTGGGCCTCTCTTTCAATGGCGGGCAGACAGAAACCGTAAATAACATTAATGCTAAGAGATTTCATCTATTGAAGAAGAAAGCTTGGTCATAATCGATGCTAAACAGCTTCGTCCGAATAACGAATATCAATGATATTATGAGATACTTAATAAATGTTCATTTCTCAAGATAATGACGGCTCTGAAGACAAAACAAATATCATTGTGGCTTTATTTGCCCATCCATAACAGACAACCTTGCTTGCTCGATCAAGCCAATTTCTCAGGCTTAATTTCATACTCAATGGCTATAGTTTAAGAGAAGTGGTATGAACCGTTGTAGCAGAGAATGTTTTTAGGTACGCTGAGAGTCCAATATGACTAGCTTCGCTATGTAAGTGTTGAAGATTATGCTCGAATCGAGTTAATAACGGTGATTTTATCAATGAATTATTAGTGATTTTGCAAAAATCTATTAACAGTCAGTGTAAGTATTTCCGAATGCGATCGCAGTATCTTATAAATCATTAGAAATAAGTGAGCCTGTATGTACTTGAGGTACTTTAGCGAGATTGATTTCGAAGTCCAAGCATGTACAAATTAAGTATCTTCTAGCCACTATTGTATGGTAATTTTAGTACTTATTGTTACTTACTAGCATTTCTAGTTTCGGTGGACCAATATATGCCGACAGATCTGTAGAAATGCGGCTTGTTAAAACAGATTTCAGCGTTTCGCTAGGCAGATTCTCTGACTTCGATCTATGCTATCGTTTAAACCCGGAACCAGCCACCCATTTCACATATCTATTGGTATACAGATTGACTGATCCGAGCGCCACAGTGGCATGCCTCGGAAATTAGAAACAATGATTGATAGACAGAACATGCCACCACATGCCTGTTTTGCTCACTGATTGTGAGGAGATTCATAGCAAATAACGAGGCATTTGAAAAATAACGAAAGTCTGCCCGCAGTCCATGTTTCATTTCACAAACAAAGCCGATTCAAGGATAAGAGAAAAGGGAAATTAATGTATCAGCAGTTCCCTCAAAGGCTGTCTATTACCACGCATGGCTTTTTGTGTGTGCGCTATTTACCGATCGATTTCTTCTAGCCAACAAAATTTTTCAATGCACTTCTCCGGCTCTGTAACCGCCGATAACACTCTCAGGGAAGCTTTAATGCAAAGTTGCTTTGAGAGCAAAGCGTCATATATTCTTGTCACTCGGATAGATGAGTTATTATTGGAGGTAACCCACCTCGGTCTCTCGTAACGGTTTAGGAGTTGAAACCTGTGTCAAAAGATCATTGAAAATTTGCGCCTCTATT